CCATCACGCTCATCTAAGAACTGCAAATCCTCCACTTCACACACTGATCGAAAGTTGGTTAGGAAGCAAATGGTGCAGATCTGTTCTCACAACTGATTTTAGTCAGCTTCCTCGTTTGGGTTGAATTTCGACCCCTCGCAAGAAAGCATGACTGACACTGCCTTACCTGGATATTGCTCTGCATATCTACCATATGGACTGCTAGTGATGCCAATACCAGCACTTATCGACATTCCGATTTGATGATCAGCGCAGATCCCTAGAAGATTTGGCGTGGGTCCATGCAACGGTAGAACGACAAATCCTAAACTGACGGCTTTGACCACTTCCTCTTAGCGAAGTGTGAGGGTACCGGGATCCCAGTTCATCGCAGCTTTTTACATTCAGGTCAGCAGCCCATGAGCTTGCAAAACCGAGCTGCCCCATGCAGCTACCAACGGCGAAGCGCCAATCGGCCTCTGACAGCTTCGGATGTGCAGCAAAGTTCGAGTTGGAGGATCTTTAAGGTGCATGGCATACGGAGATGCATGCAAAGATTTAGAAACAATGAACATTTGAGAGTGATCGTAAACTAAACTTGTGCAGCGAGTACAAAATTCAGCAAGTAGGGCTAGATAGGGTTCACGACATCTGAATGTAGCCACAGATGTTGTTCACGCTCAGACTTCAGCTCTTCCAGCTAAAGAACATCGAGAGAAGTGCAGTATGAATGCCTAAATAATGAGATTAGTCCTCCTCGCTGCCTTGTCGGATACTGTCTTTCCGTCTTCCTGTTTCTTGTTGTGATTCTGCTTCCCTTGTCACACTGCTTGTGCTACCAACTACTACCGTCACGTTGTACCAGGGCAAGGGTCGGACAAGCCTTACTGCGAACGGGCTCTTGTCACTTTGAGAGACGGGCACTGCATTGTGCACCTGAAGCGCCAGCGCTCTTCAGTTTAAAAGGTCGGTTCAAAAACCTGGACAAGCAGGACAGGCGGACTCTCATCTAGATCGTTGTGCTCAATGGAAGCATCGATGCCAGTCGCCTTTTGCGCACCACTGCCGTCTCATCAACACCGAGACACATCAAGCTGGATCTTCCAACAGCACTGAGGGTCTCTATCACCGAGCACTGATCGCTGGGCATCGACGCCTTCCTGCCCATACGCAAAAAGCCTGAATGCAGGAGCCAAAGCATCCAACAAAGCAAAGCGTCAGATCTCATGAAACGTGACCGAGGTGCTGATGCTTCCACTTCCACCGGCTTTGACATCGCGTATTTTCGCCTTTGCCACACAGTCACTGTTTAATCTCGTGCGCTGCAGTACACCAAGCTTCATCTGCGAAACTTCTGAGCTTTTCGGCCACGAGCTTCGAGCTCGGGAAAGAAACTACCGGCAAGCGCTAGCACGCCCTTCCATCACGTGCCATGGCCACCAATTTTGAGGGCCATGCAAGGAGAGCAGCTGAAGGATCCAGGGCGCCTGCGATCTGAATACACTGTCAGGATAAATACGTGAGCCTGTGGCCTATGCCTCTCCACGAACAAAGGAAAGCCGGGTCTGCGAGATGATCAATGTCAACCGAACAGGAGCGAAACAGTAACTCACCAGAAAACATGCAAAACTTGAGGACCTTCCCCTTAGGTTTCATGTCATACATGCCTTTGACATCGCCGCTGCTCAAGACAGTCCGCTTGACAGCGGGCGAACAGCTCCGGAGCGCTTTTGCCTTGATCCGGTGCATTGAATTCAGCCATCCAGCAACAACAGGTACTGAACTTAGGAATGCGGCGCCTTCGAGGCCAAGTGCCCGGCAGCTTCTTCGTCTACACCATTTGCCCTGATGTAGCCGTTTATGTCGAAGCCTCGGACATTAGCTTCAAAGGATACAAGAAGACAAGGCATAACAAGGCCGAGACTGCTTGGCGAGCCTTTGGGCCGCCACCTCGAGCGCGTGAGCTCGTGTTGGGGTACCCGAGGCGCAGCAAGACAAACGGCTGTGACTACAAAATCTGCATGAGGTTTTCTTGCAGAGCCACGAGTATGCCCGTTGTGACGCTTCACCCCTCAACCTGCTTGTTGAGGGTGCAGTCGTATTTTACAGGAATGTCGGGAATGCTGAGTTATCTGCGACCGTCTTTCGAGTACCGTTTGAACCTCAATGTCTCGATAAACAGTCTCTTCTCACATCCGATTGCGGCTGCCTGACCTTTGGAAAACTCCGTAGGTTCACAGCTATTGGCGCATCCCGACGTCCTTGAAGCATCCATGTCGCCTGATCCCTTCAATATGCATACAGAATTGGGTAGCCTTCGCTTGTCCTGTTGGTGACACAAGCCATCAGTCGAAACAATCAACTTTTGGTGGAGAGCCGGCGGATACTAGCAGCACTTAGGCGAGCAAAAGTCAGGGTTCAGCGTTTTTGATGGCTGAATATGGTGGTGCAGAAATAAGAAGTTGTAGCTGGTACTACGGATGCCATGATGTAGTAGAGACTAGTAGAGGTTGATTATAGATTTGATGGCTCCGTCAGTCGTACCTTCCTCATTACGGTAACTATCAAGGGTACAAATCCGGATACCAAGCATAAGATGCCATGAAGGTTCATCTTGATTGGTCTCGAAGAGGCAAAAAGTCTCTTCCGCAGAGCCCTTCTCCATCCCTCGTTCTACAAGTAGCTTGCAACCGAATCACAGCAGCCATGCAGGAGCGTGCATGGTGGAGACAGCTCGTGGTGCTGTGAAAAATGCAGTCGGAATACCGGTGATAGGAAGACCTGTTGCATCATGCACTATGATGGCTATCATTGCGTTTCAGGGCTTCGTACCCTCGCGACGTCTCGCCATGCACCGAAGCTTGTCAAGCAAAGAAGCCAAAACCAACAAGGGCATGCACAGACGACGGGCGGCAGCATCAACCAAGCAGACGCAGAGCATGCGCATCTGTACAAAACGAAGTGGTCACATGACTCAGCCAAGCACTTTTGTTCCACTCAGGATCAAATCACGCATGCGGCAGGTGTGGAAGCAATCCTCCGAGGTCCCAGCCTTGGTTGGGAAGCGTTTATGACGCTGCAAGGCAGCAAGACAGGGGAGAGATCATATGTCACAGGCCTCACTGCTCCAATGATACTCCCGACCCCCAAGATGGAGCAATCACAAATGGCCGTATGCCAAAGCCTCCACCGAATCCAAGTTTCCCGTGTTTCTCACCTCGACCCTCCGCTTGAGGATACCCTGCCCTCCAAAGAACCCGACTTCGAAAATACAACATATGTAGAACATAAACAAGCTACATAGAACCTATGGACAGCATGCAGCAAGATGACAGGCGGCACCGGCGGCACAGTGGCGGGTTATGCCTGGCTTTGTCTGCAACTTCGGACTCTAAGATGCCGAAACCCTACAGCCGGAACCAGCCGGAACTTGAGAGTCTGAATGTTCAGGAGAGCTTTCGCCACAAACAGAGGGCTCTAGATTTGGAGGACCATGCCCTTTCCATAGCTTGTCGGGCCTCTGGCTTAACGAAGAATGGTAGTTCAGGAAGAACGGCAGTTTAGGCCCAACTTGTCATAGTCATACGAAGACGGCGAACCTGAGAATGCAAATGCGGCCTCCCGAAAGAGTTCCGTCACTTCCGTCACAGTCCCAAAGACCGCAGTGGCAGTCTCGCTCGCGGCACATGAGAAGGTCTCAACATGTCTTCACCCTTTTCAGTGCTTAGCATCTCCCTCTCTGGAAACTCGAACCTCCAGGTCGAGACAGGCCTGGGCCCGGGAACCTGCAGATGGAAGGATGCTTCGGCTCACTGCCCCTTTCAAGTCCTAGCAACGCTACTGGCGAAGTGCAGTTTGCGGGCGGCGTGGGTCAGAAGATGCAGACCTGCACACTGTCCGAAACGAACCAACAAAGCTGAGGGTAACTAACGGCCACAGGGCTACCATGAGCCTCCGAAGCCGACGAAATCTCGCAAACTCCCTTGAAAGTGGCAGCCGAGCCTTGCACAAAGTTTCAGGGTCCGCCGATGGCCATGGCGCCACATAGTGGGAAGCGACCCAACTCCAACCCCGATGCCCAACCCATCCATGATCCCCCAAAAAAAAGCGTGTTCTCCAGGGCAGACCCTACTCTGCAACCAACACACTTCCGCATCTCTGGGGGTGAACACTTTCGATTTGCAGCACTTCGGCTTGGCTTACACCCATCTTACCGGTAATATAAGATTTCAAACTTCAGCCCACCTTTTGAAAGTCCTGAAACTTAGGACCACTCTGGTCGCGAAGAGAGGCTTGAAATTAGCGACTTGGTACTCGGTTTGATCGAATGGCAGTCATGGCAAGCTGAAACTTACGCCAGAACTTTTGGGTGGGATATCGGATCTACGGGTGACGAAGGCACAGCCCCGTCAAAATCTCGCGGCCGGTGCATGCCAGCCCTTCTCCCGCTTACTCTTTTTCGCAGTCGCGGGGCAGGGCAATGCCATGCTTCTCTAGCATGTTCCGCCCCAGTCCAAAAGGATGTAAGCTTGGCTGAGGTGTGGTTCGAACAGATGCGCACATCAACTTAGGACGCTAGCATGCGCTCTGCAACGCCGAGGTGCAAGGCGAACTGTTTTGGTGCTCATGCATATTTTGGTTCACGATGTAGAGTCTGGACATCGTCAGAAGAAGCAGTAGCAGTGTGAGAAACTGATGGCTCTCGCTGTCAACACAACTTTCTCTAGACGGCCCAACTAGTTGGTGCTCCCAGACTTGGCAACGGATTGCAGACCCTCTGTGATTAAAAACTCGGGCCGTCCGCGTCAAAGCACCTGCAGTTGCCAGCTGGAATAAATTCATTCAATTGTGACCTCTGCGAAAATTCCGTGCAACTCAGAAAGTGGCTTCGATCGACTCCGGTGCGGCCCGAACATGGTGCATTCATGCACCAGGTGACACATACTGAGAAGGTACGGGGGGCCGGGCCGGCTTGGGATCCAAAGATCCCGAAGCCAGCCCAGGATTCTGGCAGATTGCGACTAATCATCGCAGTCCGTGAAAAAAAGCATTCCCATCGGTGCAAAAGGGAGCTCACCGCCCAGGTGTCGGGCTCCAAGGAGACGTCGTAGCATGCGCACCGGGCTCGATGCAAAAGGTGAAGACTCCAAGGTCAGAGATGGATCCTCTGCCGAGACTCGAGCCCGATTGAAGGGCGCTACAAAGCCATCCCTCTCAACCACCTGGCGGTTGTAGAAATCAGTCCACGCTTCACTCTTGGAGACGGCCCGGCTGATTCCCAAGAAGCTGCGCTGCTGCTGGATCTCTGAATCCTGCGGCGTCTCTGCAATGCCATACAGGCTGCCAGCGAAGACCTTGAATGGCCGTTTCTAAGTGCACTTGATCGAGCGTTATTCTACAATCTACAAGGCAACTTCACAGCTCTGAGACACGAAGAAGCCCGGACGAGGAGATTTTACAACATGGACTGTGTCAAACACAGCCGGTTTTCCGGAGATGAGAGAAGCAGAAAGAAACAGGTCATCTCTAGCGAGGGGCATGGACGGCGGTCGGAAGTGGCACGTCGCTAACTGGCGACTGATGGGGACGAAGGCGCCGGCTCACCAACACCAGCTTCGCATCAGGACCTGCGAATTCCACACAGCACCCACAACTGAGAGAACGTGTGTCTGCATGCACAACCTACTCAGACAAGTCCATGAAAGTCGAAATACTCTCCAGGATGTCCAGGTCTAGCCGAACTCGACTCTGCATTGCCACTACACTTTGCACTGTTGCACGGGAACTGCCTGTGCTGAAGCAGCTTGCAATAGCTTCGGCTTCGTAGTTGGAGATCAGGACCTGCTGCTTGTGTCCTTCGGAGTGTGGCGGTTGATCTCTCATTACCCGGTACTCAAAACAGAAACGGGCTGCTTTAAGAGCGAGTAGGTGATCATACGTGATCCAACTTGTGGCTGGCAAAGTTGCTTTCACGACTCCGCAATCATGATGGCCGACCAGCTCTCACGATGCACTATTGCGGCACACAGTCCTTGCAGCAGCCAGAGGGCTGGTCGAAGGTAGCTGTCGAGAACACCGGTGTTTTCGACGGTGGCAATGAAGTCAGGGGTCACGTTGACATTTACCACAGCCCAATCCTGGTGAGGGAAGGATGTCCTCTGGAGCAGCTGTGCAATGGAGCGAAATGGCTGAGTCGTGCGGCCTTTGGTAGCAAGATCCCGCACGCCGGGTGACACATGGGGTTTGCACGGCTCTGCAGGGCCCGGACGCTCCAACTGTCTTTCCTCCTCCAACTCGGCTTCGAGCTCCCGCTCCTGCTCTTCATCCAACATCCCTGAAGGTATCATCACATCGCTAGCAAGAGCTTGAACCCGATCTTGGATCTCGGTCTGTAGCCGTCTCAAGCGAAGGCCATTGCGAGACTTGCCGAGTCGATTCACGGCATTTGTAACATGATGCAACACCTCTTTGACGATCTGAGGAAGAGTCGCCTGTGCACGAGCATGGCCATACATTTTCTCCAGCAGCAGAACTTCGTCCTCCGCACAGGCACCAGCCACCTGAACTTCCAAGCTTTTCATGTCGAATGTTTGAACCCCGAAGCTAGAAGGCCGTTTATTTTTACTCCGTAAGCCCGAGTCATCCTCCGGCCTTAGGAAGCTCCTCCAAGCCAACGCCAGGCTTGGCATGCGCTGCGTACGCAGCCTCCTTGCGGATACGGGCGGCTCCCTGGCTGGCCCAGTACGGCAGCTTTTCGGCGATGGCCTTCGCCTGAATGGCGGTTCTTATGGGCTCCCCGACACTCTGATTGACCCTTTCAATGCCAAGAACTACTGTGCAAGACAAAGTCACAGTGTTCGTGAGACACCAGGAGAGGATGGAGGCGACGATGGGAGCGTCCTGAAGCTCTGGCTTGCATGGGTAAGTCTGGACTTGGAGGTCCAACTCGAAGGATGCCAGGAAAGCGACGGCATGCCCATTGCCCAACAAACACATTCTCATGCAAGCTTGCACGAGCTTGTCCTTCTGCATACCACGCCCCAGTGTGACGACGGCTTTGCTGGCTCTTGGCATGCGGAAATCACATCCACGGCAATGCACATCATCCAAGTATAGCAGGCACCTGTCGAGGGATCGCTCGTAGGGCGAGACTGCCAAGGACATCACCTTCCCAAATTCATTCACGACGGAAGCAGTGTTGTTGGCATCGAAGAAAATGGCCGCCTCCTTGTCGCGGAGTCCGCGACCGCGACGTGTTTTGAGCCACTCTTCTGCCAGCTCTTGGTTCGACATGTCTATGACCAGCGCTCCAGCATCTAGCAAGACATTAACATCGGGGTCGGAGAGCAATTCTTCCAAGATCTCGCGTCCTGCAGCATCGTGTGGAAGCTTCCGTAGCTTTGGTTCTCCTGCAGGTCTCTGCATCAAATCGGAACTTGAAGAGCCCTAATTGCCAAGCAGAAGGAGTGCGAACTTGCTGCGATGGTACAGCACAAGATGCCACTCTAACAGAAGAGGACATCGTTCCTCCGTGTGCACAACGCCTAGGCTCCAGTCCTTCCGCATCAGGTTCCGCAGGACAAGCCCATTCGTGTGCGCCAGCTCTTGGAGATTCGACTGCTGGATGGTTGTCGGAAGCAGCGGTCTGGCATCGTCCGTCCAAGAAAAGCCAGTGGTGATGGGGCCCACAGGACACAAATCCCACGGTGTTGCAACCAGCTTCTGCGGAAACTGCTTGGCCTCTTTGGGGAAAACAATCTCCCCCAACCAAAAGTCGACCACAGCGTGGTGGTGTCTAAGAGCCGGGAAGACTTTCTTATGCAAGGTCTCCCTGTCGTCTAGGTTTACACCAGACCTCGGTATGCTGTGATGCTTCGACAACAAACTTGAAACCAGAGAGAGAGCGAGAGAGCGAGAGAGAGAGAGAGAGTCACAGAGAGAGGGAGAGAGAGAGAGAGTCACAGAGAGAGAGAGAGAGAGACTGCCGCCAATACAATCTGAGCCACCACTCACGCAGTTCCGTGGGCATTGAGGCTCCCATCTGGCAAGTCCACTGCCTGTAAGTCGCGGCTGCCTGACGCTCGTTTTTCTGATGAAGGCGTCTGAAGACTTCTTCCATTGCTTCCTTGTCCAGCCCACCCCTGTAATAGGTCACCAACGTGAGCATGATGGCCACATCTGGGTGTCCGAACTCCGTGCGCTCAGCAGCCACATCCTTGGCCCTGTATGGTACGGCCATACGGCAACGACCTGAAGGATGCACCCCAAACTCTACTCTCCATCGCTTGCCGAGAACAAGTCGGAGGACGTTGTGGCAAAGCAGCCCACGCAGGACATAAGCGACTGGCTGCACACTCTCATGCAGTTTGGTCCATGGCTTGTTCTCCGAACACACTTCGAGAGCACATTCCTTGAAGGCCTGCCTTTCTTCCTCTCCGCAAATGCGCAGGGAAAGGCTCGACTGCTCCGATCCGAGCACATCCTCAACGATCCACTGACAAAGCTGTTCGTAAGCGGCCTTGCTGCTGTCATGGTCCAGCAAGCGGACGGTGGGATATTGAAAGTCCGGAGTCCCCGCAACAAACTCCACCGCCTCCTTTCCAAACGTCTCGGCCAAGCCTTCAGCCCTGCGAGCCACAGAAGCAAGCACACAAGAGGCCACCCACCATCGAAGGCGTCCACCATCAAGCTCCCCCGGGTTGCCAAGCGTATGGATCAGCTGGTACTTCGCATGCAAGATCTCGTCGGACTCGTCCAAAACATCCCTCACATGCGTCTTCAGAAAGTCGAGGACGGAATGGAGAGCCTGGCTCGTCTGCATCTTCTTGTTGTCGGATCTGTAGGCCATCTCGAGAGCCTTGTTCTCGAAAGACAGCCGATGCTCGGGCACCGTCACGATGACATCCCTTCCTCGGATCCATGAGTCATGAGAAGCATCTGGACACGGAGAGCCCGAGAGAAGGGCTCCAAGCCGAGGCGGCGACCGAGTCTCACACGGTCCGGAAAGCTGTGGAGGTTCTGCGCTTCGGTCTCCTGGCGCTCGGCTTCCAAAGGTTAGGCGAGGCAGATTCACAACATGCTCACCGTCCGCGCCTCCAGCTTGAGATCCCGGCGGCAGAACATAGGATACAACCGATGCCCTAGAAGACCACCCAGCCTAGCACAGAGCGAAAGCTGCATACAGGCAAGCACTGGTCGTGTGCGGACACGTCGATTCTTGGCGGTCAGAGGCGCTTGTGCTGCCACTCCGCTGCATTGCTGTGCCGCAAGGAGGATAGAACCGTGACACGCAAAAGACTCTTCCCATCGGCCAAAGATGCAATCAAAAGGGGGACGATGACGGATGTCCTCAGCCGTCAGAGCAGAAGAGGAGGCCAATGCTCTTTCAACCCGAAGGGATGTCTTTACGATCCTTTAAGTGCTGTTGGTCTGGCCATCGGTGCACAGAGTGCCACGATCTGGACTGACCGTTGACCCAGCGTTTCTACAGAAAAGGACCACATTTCGGCACCTGGAGCAGCATCTGTAACGACCAATGCCTTCGAGCATCTTTCCTTCGCCCATGTTCAATTGCATAAGACGGCTCTGCATAACTTCTGGATTCTCTGTACCCTCCAACATCAAGCTTTTGGCCACGGACACCTGCTGTTCACGAATGCAGAAGTCATTGTCGACCTCCAAGAGCAACCACTCCGGGTGCTCCGTCGGCTTCCAATTCGTGCAGCCAACGCTGGACGGATGAAGCTCCCTCGCAAGCCAAGAGCTCATCTCTCCCCGGTCCGCCAGACGCAGGCAACGCAAGGTGCGCTGCTCTGCACGCAGGCAGATTGCATAGGCTCCGATAACGGTTCCTTGCGGTTGACAACTCCCGGACTACACAGTCTGGAGACTGACTCAAAAAGCAGCCGTGGCAGATTGTGACGCATGCTGCATGGCACGGCTAACTCTGATTCTCCGAGAGGCGCAGCTGGGGATTTGCGGTCTGCAGCAAGCGGGGCACTAAGCGGCACGGGAATGTCGTGCAGACCACACTGGCGAAGCAAGTCATCCCAGTCGCCTGCAGCACAGCAGAAGGAAGGGTCTACTGTAAGCAGCAAGCATATTCGAGCTACACCGAGCACCAACGTTGTTTCGTCTCGCTTCCCCAGTCCCGCCTTGTCCCTGGAGCGATCTGCAAATGTCAGTCCAGGCAAACTCTCGCTCAGTCTTCACCTGGTGAAGGTATGTTTGCAAATCGCGCCTTGGCTGCTAAATTTCACCTTTGGAAACAGAGGCTTGCACAGCCTTATGCGAGGCACGCGCTGCACCGTAACATGAAGCCGGCTCCGACCTCTAAACAATGGTCGAGCGTCTTTAGGGAAGTCGGTAGCTGGCTGGGTTGCTGCTGTGGCGGCTACTTCGTGTGCGCCAGCTCCCAGCTCTCGCGCAACGGATCCAGCATCTGCTTGTTGATCATGGCATGCTCCTGAATTAGCCAGGCAAAGCTTCTTCGACAGAGATCGCACAAGCATTTGAGAAAGCACATGAGCCGCAAGAGGTGGCAACTCAGTCGAACAAGAGGCCATTCTCCTCGTCTGGAGACAGCTGCAAGGTGGGAGCGCAGGTTTTGCGAGAATAGCCGTTCAGGATGACGGGCTTCCGGAATTGACCCGTCTCCCACAGCCTGTCCAAAGCGGCGCTGTGGACAACCTCCACCTTGGTTGGCGGAAGAAAGGCATCTCATGAATCTCCAGATCTCATTCCTTTAGGCGCGATGCTGCCAAGCCGCCTCTGTGGGCTCGGATAGCCACATGGACTCTCGATGCATTGGAGGTGCGAGAGAGTCACATCCCACGCTTCTGGGAGCTCTTCGTGGACCTCGCCGTCCTCTCGGGCCGGAGCTGCGCTTATGAGGCGTAGGCGCAGGGAGTAAGGGTTGGGAGATTTGAAGGTCTCTTCAGGTCCTCCTTCAGCCCTCGGAGCTTCCTCTCCACGTGCTCCAGGAAGCTTCGCAGATCCCAAGCCCGCCTGCATCTGATCAGATAGTCATTGATCTGTTTGGCCAGATTTTCGGGGTTCTTGATTGTGCCTTTTGCACACGAAAGCCGCTGCATCTCACCCCCGTGCAGCCACTTCCTTTGCGATTCCCCTTCGATGAGCGATAGGTCTTGGAAGCTGTCACGCTGAAACTGGCTGCGGCGTTGCAGGTGCTCCCTCGAAGCTCTCTCTTGCTCTACGGGGTCCCTGAAGTATGGCTCTTCTTCATCAAACTGCTTCTGGCATTTCGTGATAATGCGTCGGACTGTCTGCATGTCGAGATCGTGTTCGTCCGGACGCTCATACAACTGATGTCGTGGCAACTCTATGCCCGAAAAGGCCTCCTGGTGAATGGCAATGGTCGAAAGAACTTGCAGATGCACCACATGCTGGGGCCATTTCCGTGCCAAGTAAGCCAAGAAGAAGTCAAAGCGACGTCTGTTCTCACAGCGAAGGGCAGCCTGGTACAACGCAATCCAATAGAGCCTCAGGTTCTCGCAATTCTCTCCGATCTTGTACCATCTAACCACACTGCCAGCCTCCAGCTCGACATGGGAGTAGCCCTTCAAGGCCAAGGTTGATCTTCTCATCGAGGCTGTTGCGCAGGTTGCCACGGCACCTCGCGGGACTTGGTTGGTGGCCCCTTACCGGACAGGAACGGAACAGAATGAGGCAATCGATCCTTCTGGCCGCGGAGCTCACACAGCTGAGGCCGCAGGGTGTAGACAAAGAAAGGCGGAGAACGAAGTTCGCTCAGATTCAAAGAAACCGTGCAGTGCCTTGCATCGGGTATACGAGAAGCCTTGGCATGAGGCAACAAAAGCATCTGCTCAACCTGTTCACGGTTCGACTGGTTCGTCTCCAGAAGCAAGCCATGCTCCAAGCCGATGAGGGTTCCAAGATTCTGGTTGGAGGCCACATAGCCACCCAGCTCGTGGCTCTCGATCCTGCCCGTCTTCTCCACGTGGAAGCGCATTTGCAGAGCTGGAAGGAAGGCGAGCGGCCGTGGGTCGCAGTCAAAGACATGGACCCGATCTCGCGGCGCTACTCGTCCAAAGACTTTGAACAGCTCTCCAAAGGTCATGCTGCAAATGTCGATCAAATACAAGCCTGACTCCGTGTCCTTGATCCACTTCTTGTTTATGTCCAGCACAAAATCGGAACCCGCCTCCGAACAGCCCAATGCAAACTTTGGGTCCTGGAACTTTGTGGGTCGGAAATAGATGGCAGGCGATGGCTCCATAACCAGCCAGTGGCTGTACTGGTTAATCAAGTCAGCAGGGACATCGCCCTTGAAGGCATCGCGTGGAACCAGCATGGCTTTCTGCCAGGAGTCAGTTTCTTCCTCCGTGTCATCTTCATCGGGAGAATTGGCAGGAGTGCATAGCCTCTTCTCTGTGATCAAGATTTCACCATCAGGCTGGACAGCGAAGCCGAAGTAGACGCAGTCCAGAGGACCTGTTGTGTAGTTTCCATCTGGAGCAGGCTGGACCTCGAAGATGTTGTGGCCAAAAAGGCGCACGTAAGCCTCACTGCCCGTGATCTTCTGCGGCAAGCGCCCCACCGGATTGCCATTGACGAGAAAAGCGCCACGCAAGATATCCACATGAAGAGTGCAGCGACAACTAGCCCCTGACTCTGACTGGAAGTGCACCTTGTACCAACGACATGCAGGTGCAGCGCAGCGCCTCCACATCTCATAAGTTCCATCCTTCCCTCCCCCCCAGTGCTCGCGCGAGAATTCTGTCAGCTGTGTTGAGGGAGATATGCCGTGGATGTCGCGCTCTAGACTGAGAGCCACACACGTTGCATACCGAAGGAGCAGCCGGCGCTCACGCGACATGCTCTTCTCTTGCGATCGTCCCAGAAGGATGTTATCAAAGCACGCAGCCCGAACTCGTAGCCAATCAACCAAAGCATCTGCCGACATGCAAGCAGGGAGCTGCTCGCCCATGCCACGCTGAGGAACGAATGTCAGCGTTGTGGTTGCAGAAACATCCACGATCTTGTCTCGGAGATCTGCGACCGCCGTGATATCAGTTGTCTTTTGCACAACTCGTCGAAGACGCTGCAGCCAATCAATACCAATACGGCGTGCAGTGAGCAAAATGTTGTGGGCTTCTGTACTAACTCTCGGTTGAGAATGCTCAGCCAAGAATCTGCCAACATGCACGACAAAGAGCAATGTCCGATTCTGTGACCAATTTTCCCGTGACCGAGCAAGCAAAGAACCTATCTGCTCACAAAGCTTCAAAACCAGTTCATCCTCGACCAAACACCGAGCGGCCTCGCGAAGAACTGGCGGCTCTGGATCAGACGAAGGCCCATCGCTCGGCCATTCGCGTGAGTCTATCAGAGGCGGGCCAACTTGCCATAGCAGTGCCTTCACCATGTTCAAGACCCCCAGACGGTGGAAGGTGAGGCTATGCTGCGCAACTGCACACATCAGCCGAGGAATCTGCAATCGCAGCCCACTGCGCTAGCCTCCGAATGTCTCGAATTCCAGCAACGACATGTCGACATGTGCCTCTGACTTCAGCGCGATGGCCTGGTTCTCGTTGCGCTTCCAGCTGGACACGTGCTTATCCAGCACCCTGTACCGCACATCATCTGTGACAACTTTGACCAACGGCTCCGCGTCCCAGGTCAGGGTAGCACTGACGAGCTCGTTGTCATTCTCATCTGACTTGTCACCAGCCAACACGCAGTTGTACCCATGTGGAACGACAAAGCTGGGATGCGAAAGAACATGCGCCTGCCGATAATGTGTCTCAGAGAACTTCCTCCGAGTCGAGCCCAGCGAAAAAGCCACAACATCCACGGTTCGCCACTGCTGCAGGCACGGATCCTCATTCCATAGAGCTTGTTTCTGCCCAGAATAGAAACCTTGCGGGACGCCGATCTCCCGAGCAAAGAGAAGAACTGCGTCCCGCTGCAATGCAAGGAGGTCGGGCTGCCGCAGCTCGTAAACAACTGCGTGCTGTTTGTGCTGATCTTCTGGCAACAGCTTTTCATAAAGGCTGATATGTATCTGCTTCGCCTGCGACCGATACTCGTCCGCTGCCCGATGCTGCTGGCATTTCCAGCAGTTGTATGAATGCCTCTCATAGGTGCCACCGTACGCGTTGCGACCTTGCAAGCTTTGAGCTAAAAGTGCATGGGCTTGCAACTCAAGTGCACACAGCACCTGGGAAAGCAGAACTGTGAAACAAGATCAGGTCAGGGGGCAGACATCATCTTCGCACGCTCTGCTACTTGCAAGGATGTCCCGGTCCTTCGCACGGCTGCACAAATCGGAGTGGCGCTTTTCGGCGGCTTCAACCTCCTCCTTCTTCTTCACTTGGTTCCATTCGCACTTCTGCTGGATTGCTGCTTGGACACTCTGCAGCTTGCTTTTTGCAAACTTCACACCAAAGCTCTCGTCTGAAACACACGGGTCGGCTGTGCTTGGGCAGGTGGCAGCAGAGTCGCGCTGCTCAGCGTATGCCTCCAACGCGTGGAGAATCTGTCGTTCATGCCTGCGAGCTGTCGTTGAGTCTAGTATTGAGAAACCAACGATTATTCTTCTCGCACAAAACGATGATGGCTACCGAGCTGCAGGTGAGGAGCGAGGATGTCATGCAGCATGTTCATGTCTATGCCCAAAGAATGTTCTTTCAAGAGAGGGAACTGGGCGCAAGCAGCTCTGTCAACCATCAGCACCATTGTGGCCACGACGAGAATTCTTCGACTTTGTCCCTGAGGATCTTGGTCGTAGAGCGCACCACTTGTGTCGATGTAGGAGGTGAGAAGGCGACGAAAATCGGGCGCATGGATGGTGACAGCAGAGTCCCAAGCCTCAGCACAAACTGGCCTCGACCACGCAGTTAACACTACTCTCGCTACATGGTCTTAACTCAAAGTCAGTAAGACGGCTGCAATTGAGCCACCGAAAGGATCCACCTCTCCGCATCGAACAAGGCGGTTACCAAATCTGCATCCTCCGCTTCTTTCGCAGCCTCCAGCGCCGTCGCGTGCGACAAGCACCGATTTTCAGCACGAGGTTCGCACAATGGGTCCGCCACCTGGCCCGCTTATTAAGCAGGTCTGCCGAGAAGCAGGTGTGTCGAGGGCTGGGCTCTCAACTGACAAGCTTAGCCCATGTTCTGCTTTCCGTCCCCGCATCTCGGTCCTCGCAGTCCCCTGCCGGCGCAGGATTCAGCATCAACTTCTTGATGTGTGGAGATGAGTGCTGCAACCTCACCGTCCCGCCCCGTCAAGACTAATTTGCATGTTCTGGACCGAGCTCCAAGTCTCAATCCTACAATCCTACAACAATTGGTGAATTTCCAAAGAATACACTGTGGGCTTGCCAGACGCTTGTGCTTCCTGTCCGGATCAAAGCGCAGCGACCCTGGCTGTACCACGCAGCGTATCTCGTTCTCCGACAGGGAGCTCCACGCCTGCAGAGATACACTGCGAGCCGCAAAGCTCCAAACATCAGCTACGCTTGGACTAAGCTTCCTGCTCGTAAAAACACGGCAAGGGTTCGGTCCTGGACATAGAATCTCCCCAAAACCCTCATGTGCAGGCGCCTCTCGAAGACTCCCCAGCGTGGCCTCTGCAGCTTCCCGGGCATCCTGTATGGCCATCCTGCGGTGTCTTCGATCTTAAGAAACACGTACAACCAGGGCCGTGCATTAGGGCTTCAGGATTGAGGGCGCAGAGGCTGCTTGGCCAGCTATCTCTGGCCTGGGGTTGAAACCTCCTGCAACAAGAAGATCTTTGCAAGAGACCCACACGAAACTGCCATGCAGTTACTGCTGTCGTTTAACCAAGTCGAACCCTCAGTTTGGTGAAATCGTTCGGAACCCGGCGAATCGAGGGAAGCCATTCTGCAGCAGATCCCGCATCCTCGCAGATTCACGCAACTGCTCATTCTCCGAAGTCTCCCGCTGAGCCTTCGCGAAGTTTTAGAAGCTGGGAGAAGCGGCTCGAAAGTGTATGCAAGCGTAAAGGTAGGGGCCCACGGTGCTAGGCGAAAGCACACAGCAAAGACACGGTGGGACCCGCGGCTTCTCGACTTCGAGGCCGGGCCAAGCCACAGACAGAGCTGAATCAATCCTCTGAGGAAACCGAAATCCTGACACCACAAGCCCTCGGGTGCCCGGGGTGCCTCAAGCTCGCGAGCTTGCAGTACGATCTTTCGAGCGGCTTCCATCTGCGATGAAGCATCTGGAACGGTCGCATCCGCAACATCCATAAGTCTCACATGCTTCAGGGCACGCAAGTTGATTTGCAGCAACATTATCCTTGGTGGCAAGCTGTCACATTGATGCCCGGGGACGAGCTGATCCAGCAGTCTTCAAATACGCAACTCCCACCACGAGTAGGACTTTAGTATGTCACGGCTCTGGTACATGAGCTCCCCCGCTTCTGTCGTCGAGGCGCTGCGACAGCACCTCTGGTAAAGCAGCTTTCAAGACTCCCTTCGATCCGAAGCCTCTGATGCCCAGGGGCTCGACATGCAGAGCTGTCCTCGCAAGGCTTTCTGAGGACCCGTCCTAAACACAAACTTTCGGAGGGCCTCGCAGCTCTCCAAGCTCGCGATACGCGCCGGGGCAACTCCGGCACAGCACCGTGGGAGTAGCGCACCTCGTCAAAGACCTTTGCATAGCCGGCAGTTTCACCAGGAAGACTTCTTTTCTAAGCTTCCTCATGTGCCAGCCCAGACGTCCGGAGACCTGTCCCCACCACCAAAGTGCGATGCAACGTTTCGGCTGTTGCGTAGCTTCAAGTCACCCGGGTTTAGAATTTATGCTGCCATCTTGCGGATATGCATACACTGAATATACCCTCGAATCCCGTACCCACGGGCCTGGCCAACCCTTGAAATTCGCAACTTCATCACGACATTTCACCTTACCAATTCGCAGCTCTGAACAGGAAGCATGTATTGATCACCATCACAGGCATGATCATCCCTACCATCTATGGACATGTGTAATGTAACATTGTCACAATGACTACTTGCATCTTACGGCCAAAGATGACGATTGCTCCTCAGACTACTATGAAGTCTTCTCATTGCTATTCCATCGCTCCAGAGCCGCAGCAGTAGCTGTAGCAGTACCGTAGCAGGAGAAGCATCATGCGTGCGTGTACGCAGAGTATGTTTGCACGCACGCACACACACCCACATGGCTGGATGCAGACACGCATTGCACTTCCTTTTCTTCACGCATGCTGCAGGTGTGGACGCAATCCTCTGGGGTCCAAGCCTTGGGGCTGAGGAAACCAGGACAGCGATCGACAAGTCGTACCCGGGGCGCGCACACACACACACACACACTTCTATGGAACCTGAAAAGATACAACGAGATGTGTTAAAACCCCTCGCCCCAGGAAATGGCCAAGCAGGAAAAGGGGCGGGGAAAAGCCATGCCGTTTGGAACAGCCGCTCTGCAGAAACGAGGCATAAAAAGTCTACAATCGCTCTTCGCCACTTCGGCGCCTCGGCGGCGAAGACATCAGACGTGAGGCATCACGGCCCCATGGCTTTGTCGAAACTCTGGCCACCATGCTCCGGAACGGGTAGCTCAGCACGTGGGGCTGTTGCGCCTTCGCGGCTGTACTCGGCCTTCATAAGGTGCACGATTTGAACCATGTCGGGATGGTCCCCCATACTGTAGGAGGACGGCGGGGAGCAGCGGTCAATGATTGCTTTTGCTTCGCGCCAAGTCATCGTCTCTGCAATGTCCACCGTCTTGCCCAGCTTTTGCTCGCCAGATTCAGCAGGCTTGCTTGCTTTTCCAGTGTCTTCGACGAACATTTTTTTGAAGGGACAGCAGAGCTGCCAGAGAAGCCTGACGAAGCCGCCGAAGGTCTCATGAAAAGCCCATGCCAGCCACCAGAGTACCCAAAGCGCCAGCATCAAGCAAAAGAAGGCCACAAACATCCAGGTGCTTTCTCGAGTTAATCTGGGCCACCAGCCCTGGAGGTGCTCGCTCAAGACCGCCGTGCCCTGCTCTTCCAGGAGTTTTCCAATATCACCCCCGGCCGGATTGGAGGGAAAGACGCAGGCTTGCCCATACATCATGACTGCAAAAAAGCAGTGCAGGGCGACAGCGTAAAGTAACTTTTCCGACGCCTCCTTCGGCAGAAGGGCGTCGTAGGAAGGAGGCCGCTTGGAGCACCAGAGAAGTGACACCTTGTCCGCCCAATACATGGAACACATGTATCCAAAGGCGAAGAGATAGAGCAAAGGCATCCCGGCCGAATATGTCAGCGACACGAAAACTGTCGTGAGCATCTGCGCGTACTTTACCTTGATGTCAAACTCAGGGTTGGTGTATAACGTGATGAGCTCCGAGTGGTGCTTAAGTCGACCTCTCTTGAACCGTCGCAACAACCAGGTCTTGAAGATGTTTACGACGGTAATTGCAGGCGGGACGACCATGTTAATTAACATATTGGTTGTGATGGTCGCCCCCACATCAACGTACCAAGCCCGTGTCAAGTCGTCAAAGGGTCCGGCAAACAGCGCACTGCCGATTAGCGGGATGGCCTGCATCACATCTCGGAGACCTTGCGGCCCGTGCATGTTGACAATAAACAAAACGAAACCCGTGTTCAGCGTCTGTGCAATGAAGATCTTCTCCATCATGGACTTGTATAAAGCAGTCAACGACAGAGGTCGCTCAAATTGGGCCATGGCCCTCAAAGCCATCTGAAGGATCATGTTGATCAGAATCACAAATACAGAGGCGGCCTGCATGATGCCGATCCCTCTTGCTGTGTTCAAGAACCAGGGCTCGCAGGCGCTCACGAGCGCTGCACTTTCCACGAGCTTGCTGTAGCCTTGAGACTCGCACCAACAGTTCAGCATGCTGCCGCCCTCCGAGACGGCGAAGTCCAGGGTCCAATTGCTTGCAACACTCACGATGCAGACGTGACCATCTGATGGTGCGGAGGAGTAAGTCCTTTGAGGATCACATTGCTCATGGCCTATGTAGCTCAGCTGCGAACCCGCCTCTCTTTTGCCGACAACGGTGGCCACGTAGATTAACACAACCGAGATCGCCAGGATGAGAACAAAAGTCACAACGACACAAAGCTGCCTGAGCAGTCGACTCCGAAAGGGAGTGTCCTGGTCTCGGTGCATTTTCAGTGATATCTTGCAAGTCGTATGCCACTTCTATACTTGAGAGAGAGAGAGAGAGAGAGAGAGAGAGAGAGAGGCAAAGGGAATGAGAGGGAGGGAGGGGTAAAGAGACAGAGCAGCCTGGCATGTCCTGGTTCTCCCAGATAAGATCCGACGGCTGGGGTGCCTGGCGGACTTGCAGCGCCGCCCCGTGGAAGCGCTTCGACGCAGGCTGAAACCAGCGAAGTACGGCGAAGTTGTCAAGCCGGTAATCCTCCAGAAGACAATTCCTGGCTCTCCGTTAAGCGACTTAAGTTTTATGGGTTGCGTAAGGCTCGTTAAGGGGCTTATGCAGGCTCATACAGCGGCTTCAGGAGTTTTGCTCAAGGAACTTGGTTCAGCAAATACCACAATTATGGGTCTATGAGACGTGCTACGGTCTATGGTGGTATCTGAAACTAAGTGAGTCAGTCTCATAAAGAACAAAGCTCAGGCTCTTGTCGATGGTTCGGTTCAGGATCACGTAGGCACGGATGACTGGAAGCTCGCTGTCAGGTGCCAAATGAACCTGCAATCGCTGGTCCAGTTTTGCCAGCTTCCTCTCGGCTTTGAAGATCGCCTTGTCTTCGCCATAAGCTTTCGCAATATCGATGCTCTGCAACGTGCGTCCACGAGCTTTCAGAGTTTCCAGCCTCCCAGAGAAGTCTCGCACCAGTGTGATGTCCGCCACCGCAGGGTCCGCAAGGTCCGCAGGGTCCGCAGGGTCTGCAGGGTCCGCAGGCTCGGGCTTCCCCTGAAGAGCCTTCATCCGCTGCTCCAGGTGGCTTTTCAGAAGACTCTCGTAGTCGTCGGCCTGGTACTCGATTCTTGGGGGCAGGTTCTCGATGAGCACCGAGAAGTCCTGCACGGAAACGCTCTCCAGGTCATCCAGCTTCGCTTGTCGCGGGATCTCGATGAAGCGGAATCTTACCAAGTAGAAGAACAAAACTATCATGCAGGAGAGGTCTAGCCAGGCAAAGATGGGGGTCAACTCCGACAGCTCAGCTCCATCGCAGCCTGCCCGCACTAGGCGCAACAGAGGGTCCAAGAGCTTCGTGTCTGCCAGCAGACCCAAGTTGCCGATGGAAGCCCTGGCTAAGACTTGCCCGTTGTCGGGCGCAAAGGTGCCCTGCAAGCAGAAAGCCGTCGTGGGAAAAGTTAGGGCCGCCATGGTTGCAAAGAGAATGCCCAGGCTTCGAAGTGTTTTGAAATACATTTCCAGGCCACTTCCACCAATATCACTGAAGCTGTCGATATTCGTGCAAAGCGGGTTCAGCCACCTTCCACCCACGGTACAGCTGCTGTTTACCAGGTGCCGCTCCGCCGAAACCATGTCCGGCTCCGAGCGGCGGACGTCCTCCTTGCTGGATGCGCGGAGGGCGTTTTCTTCCTCTGGCAGCACCTTCCTGTCGCTCTCGCTGTGACGGCACCAGACGTAGGGGACCAGAACCACGGAGATCAGCCCGAGAGCTCCCGCAGAGGAGACGATCCAGACTCGCGACAGGGCGCTGCTCCTGCCGCCCACGGCGATCTCCACGCAGTTCGGTGCCTCCGCGGCCCAGGTCGCCAGAGCCAGACTTCCGTTCACCGGGCCCGTCTTCTTCAGCCAGCTTGCCAGGGCTCCAACGTTCGCCGTGGCCATGGCCAACGGCCCAAACGGCTCGCATGCGACAAACCTCTCAAGTCTGAGATTTCTGCTAATCCTTATCTTTCTATGGCCGCTGCTGGAGGTTTCTGGTGAACGGTAAGGAACAGCTTGAGCCAAAACCTCGCATGATGCGGGAAGAAGGCTGTCACTGCACGACTCGCTTCTAAGCCTTGAAACCCTCAGCGGCCAGCCCGCCTGCTCCCAGACATAGGAGCTGTCGTCTTCCGCCAGAACAACGACCTCGCCTCCACAAGCTGGCAGCAAGTAGTCCAAGATGTACCTGGATCCAAGCCGTCCAAGCCCCTAAAATTCACCAAACAGCACCCCATAAAAAGTCCTGAACCCTTTCACAACTCCCCCACGTGGCCGAGTGAGGCTCCCAGGTCTCCTCGACGTCCGCGGCTTTGGGTGCAGCGTCTGGAAGCTCTTGCTGAGCCAACTCCGTCACAAGCCGATAGAAGTCCTCGCTGTCGTCTACAGCATCTACGGTTCGGGGAGTGCCGGGCTACTGTTCGGAGCAGACAAACGCTCGCATCCGTCCTCATGGTCGACGACGCCCCAGGAAACATCGGTTGCTGCAGCAGGCAGTTGCATGCAGCAGGGCTCGGAAAGCATAGCTTGCGCTAGAGGTAGCTGCACACGCCAGGCGCTGAGTCTCGCTACATCACGAGAACGCCGCTCTATGTGCAACACTGCATTCTGTTCGCGTATCCAGAATGCCACGGCTGCTCTTGCGGGAAGAGCAGAGACTGCGTCCCGCACATGTGACACACTCACTTCATGGATTAGGGTGAAGATAAACTCTTGGATGGGCAGAACCCACGTGGGGCCAACATGGGCCAAGGTTGCAATCACATCTTCGTCGGCTCGCTCCTCCAAGCTCCCGGGAAGAGAGCGAGGCACGAAAAGGCTTCGGAACACGGCGGGACTGAAAGCGGCTCCCCCTGTTTCGCGAATTTCTTGCACATGGTGGACCACGGGCTGGGCGTCAGCGGCGTCAGCTCTCGATTCCATGAAGTCGTACGCAAACTCGAGGGCCTGCAAAACCTCTTCTGCTGCCTCCGATGTCTCTGCCGGCACCCTGCTTGGGTCGCAGTCGCGCTGACGATCTTGATAAGCTTTTTGCCACTCGTCTTCGTCTGCGTCTTCGTCCACACCGAGCACCAACTCTGCTTGAACACCTCGACAGCGACAACTCACGCGAAACAACCGATCGTTTAGTCATTGAATAGTTTTTCCCTGGGACATCCCAAACCCCAGATGGGAACAAATGCCATCTGCCTCCAGGCCGGGCTACGCTCTTCTCAACCTGTAAAGCCTAACAAACGAGTAGCGAATAACGAACAACTAACAAGTGATGTCTAGTAACTTGTGTCTTATGCCTAATACTGAAAACCTAACAACGAATAATCACACTCATAACTAATATCTGATAACTAACAACTAATCATCAATAAAAAAGAACTAATAAGTAGTAACCAATAAAGAATAACTGATATCTGATGACTAATACTTGGTAACTATTAACTACTAGCCCACAGCCTGCAAATCTGAATCGGGCCTATGAAATTTTGTAGTTTTCCAAATGCTCCCACCTCGGAACGAGTCCGGCATGTGGGCTCCGATGCGTTGCTTATGGTTGTCGCGCCTACCAAAATGAAGGGAACGAGATGGATTGCACCGCCTTGTTGTGCAACGCAAGTGAAATTGTTCTTGAGCCAGCGGCTACTTCCCCGATTCGTTCGGCATGTGCATCTGACGCTTTTTTACTCAGACCTCAATCTCCGAGCAATGAAATCTGAATCATCACCTTCGAAATTTAAGATTTTTCCAATCCCGGAAAGAAAACACCACTTGGCAAAGTGTAAAAGAAGTGGAAAGACAATGTGAATAAAAGTGTACAAAAAAGTGTCAACTCCCAGCCTACACGGAACAGCGGACTTGTTAACCCTATCGTCTGTTCGTCCAACACATTGAGCTTTCCACTTGATTCTGATTGTCGCGCAGAATGGAAGGTCTAGGCGGCCGTGCTGATTCTGACAAATGCAACACAGACCGGCACGACCAGGTGCTTTTTTGCTAGCACATCTTAACGGAATTGCCAGGCCGGAAAACGGAACGATTGAAAAAACATGAAAACAGTCTGAATGGCCTCGGGGGGCGCTGAGAGCCTGGAACCTTGATTTTCACTTTTTGCATTTCGTCAAATGGCCTATGCCCATGATAAGAAAAAGTGCACTGCGAGCTATTTCGGGAAAGTGCGCACTGAGTGTAAGGAAAGTGTAACTTTGGGGCGTTGCGGACAGGCAAGTGTTCTTAGGAGGGCTTTCTCCCACTCTGACTCCAGCATCCACTCGACCGCCGCCTCTATTCGTGCGCATGTATCACCGTAACTGGCTCACACACAGGCAAAACGCGAAAACATGCAAGCATTGTAGCGGCTCAGGGAGGCATGTTTACGAATTTCATTCACACCTAATTTATCAATTACACGTTTTTTGCATTTTATTTCCACGTATTCTACACTTTATTGCACACTGTACTGTAAGCTCATGTTACACAACCAGAATTTCATACGGATTTGGCGAAGTCTGTGGGGCTGAGCCCGAAGGTTCTCTATTCTAATTCGAATGACATACGGATTGCGAAGCAGGGCGCTCAGACCACAATCCTTTTTTACCGCAGAGATTGCTAAGGATGCATTGCGTTGCGAGGCATTGCTCGCCGTAGGAGAAAGAGGGCATGCGATGCCGAGCTGTCCCCCAGGGCGTGGAGGGTGGGTGAAAAAAGCTTGTAAGCATGCGATGCCAAGCGTGATAAAACTAGTTGTGAGTGACTTGTGCCGAAATGCAGTGCGAAGCAAAAGTTACATTCGACACAAGAACATAAAACACAGTTGATACCAAAATACAAACTCACAACTAGCGTTCTCTATTCTAATTCGAATGACATACGGATTGCGAAGCAGGGCGCTCAGACCACAATCCTTTTTTACCGCAGAGATTGCTAAGGATGCATTGCGTTGCGAGGCATTGCTCGCCGTAGGAGAAAGAGGGCATGCGATGCCGAGCTGTCCCCCAGGGCGTGGAGGGTGGGTGAAAAAAGCTTGTAAGCATGCGATGCCAAGCGTGATAAAACTAGTTGTGAGTGACTTGTGCCGAAATGCAGTGCGAAGCAAAAGTTACATTCGACACAAGAACATAAAACACAGTTGATACCAAAATACAAACTCACAACTAGCGTTCTCTATTCTAATTCGCATGACATACGGATTGCGAAGCAGGGCGCTCAGACCACAATCCTTTTTTGCCGCAGAGATTGCTAAGGATGCATTGCGTTGCGAGGCATTGCTCGCCGTAGGAGAAAGAGGGCATGCGATGCCGAGCTATCCCCCACTTCAGGTGCATCCTTAATCTCTGCTGTAAATGCCCCTCACGGCGCGAGATCGCGGATGTACCTGGCGAGGCGAGGCTTTAGAAAATTAGGCAGCGCGGCTCCCTAGCAAGAAGAGACAGAGAGAGGTGCGCTCTTTTTTCCCTCATTTGAGCATTGCGTGCTGTGCGTCCAGTAAAGGCTGCGGCCACTCAAGTGCGTGATCGTGCAGCGTGACGCAATGCGATGCGGACGCCAGTTGTGCTAGCGTTATTTCAACTTTGTCAGCAGTGCGATGCTGAAGAAAAGCCGTAGAACCCCTGCTGAGTTTGTCGGCCCAGACGTTTTTCTCACCTGCGAGGTGCTCAACTTCAAATTGCACGCGGTGCAAATGTGCCCAAGTTGCTGCGAGACGAAGAAAAGTCCCCAAGGGCTCTGCAGTGCTGAAGAGCTTGTTGAGGCCGGACTCTGCGCTTGTGTTGTCAGACGCTGTAGGCAGGACGAAGCGTATTTGCTTGCTGCGCAGCAGCTGCCAAGAGCACTGTGCCAGTGCAAGCTGTGCGAGCGACTCAAAGCATCCTATGTAGGGTTGCAGGCTGCCTTGCAGTTGCGGCCATTGCTTGCGCACTTCCTCTGCTGGGAAAATGCCACTAAACCAAAGGAAGGAATCAGACGTGCTAATCCAGCCTCCGATGCCCATGCGATGCGTATCCGCAAAAGCATCTGCGGCGCTGTAGCAATGCATACGCGGTGCAGTGCGTAGAGAGCGTGGCTGCTCATGAGAGAAGCAGTGCTGGAGCCAGGACAGCACAAATTTGCTTTCATGGCGTAGGTGCACCTCAGAGCGATGCGGATCAGCCAGGCGTAGCCATTGGTGCTTATGCGATGGCGGAACTAGTGGCACGTCCGCTTTTGAATGTTTTCACCCTTGAAACAAAGCGCCTGCGATACGACATATACTCAGCACACATGCAATGGCGGCAAACTTGCATGACTGGAAAATCAAAAGAGAGAATAGGAAAAATGTTTCACAAAACCTACTCCTCAAAACTACAAACTCCTTCCTTCCTTCCTGGGTGCAGGTTACGTAAAACACAAGCACCCCGCCCAAATGCACATGAGTCCTCAAGACCTCGTGCTGCATTTGTTTGTGTTCGTCACTGCGACAAAGCACTGAGCTTACAAGCCGAACAGTGGAAAACTCGAAATGTTCGACAAACGAGTTTCAAGAAAGAAGGAACCTATACAAGCCGCCATGCACATGCCGAGAAAGTCGCACCGCACTTTGCTGTTCGTCTCTGCCGAGCGCGGACGTACCGCAGTCCTGGGCCTCGGGTGTGAAACTTCACTGCCTGCTACGGACCTCGGACCTCACCTGTGCTGCAGGAGCGGCGCTCGACTGCTTAAGAGGGCCGGTGCCCCTTTCAAGAAAGACCCAACAGCCATTCTCAAGAGTAATGCCAAAACCTAGCGCTGCTGGCTAGCTCAAGACATCAAGGATTATGGCAGCAAGTTCGCAAAACGGTGACATCCGCGAGTCACCAAGTCGAAACACGCAGTCGCCTATAGCGCAAAGCAAGATCGGCTTCTTCAGCCCAAGTGGGTCTGACTTCCCAAATGGCTGGTAACATGGACGTCCAAAGCATTGGATAACCTCACAAGTGCATTGAAGTCGCAACTCAAGGATAGTCTCAAGCTTGTTTTACAAGAAGGGACTAAACCACAAACTACTGGAAAGGCTCGGGTTCGGGGTGTTCACGGCGTGGATTGTCGGCTTCATCGGTAATCCGAAGCATTGGGAATCGCAAGTCATTGCGAACTCGGTTCATGCAGATCAAGCACATCGTGATTCTGGGATCACGTCGCAAAAGCACACCAAGCTCTTCTTCAGCAATGACAGCAGCTCTACTTAAACCCCAACACCCTCGGAACACATGCCATCTGCGCCCAGAGATCGGCGCATGATACACAAGCAGCTGATCGACAGCAGCAGGGAATCCAGGAGGATCAACAACTGCAATCGGCACTGCTGCCAAGGCATGGTTCTCAGGCTCGTCGATCGGATCATGGGCAGTGGGTGAAGCAGGGTGGCTGTTGCCATCGCCTGCCCCATCATCGCTCTGCGTTGGCTCTGACAGCGGCTCATCAGAGGATGCTCTGGTCACATCGGGTGTTTGCGCAAGCTCACCATCTGAAGGAATGTCATCGCTCAAGGTCGGCGCGTCGTCGTCACAAGCAGGTGTGGTGGCGTCGTCGGGTTCACAAGGCATCTGTTGCTGCAGCTCGGCACTTGGCAACACAAACCAAAACCCTAGACCTATGAGGAATCCTACGATTAGGGTGAACCATACAACCCATGGGTCGGGGAGCTCATCTGCAATCTCAGCTTGGCAACCCTGCAGGCTCATGCATAGCACCGCGAGGCATCCGATGCACACAAGGATGAATCCGCAACCGCTCAAGGCGCTTTCAAGCACATGCGGACGGCTCTCGGAGTCAAGCATGCGTGCCTGATTGGCATCGATCAAGGACATGAAGGTCAGCGCTTGCAGGAGCGCATGCACCCGTTGCGGGGGTCCCCTGAATGCTTTCACTGCCTTAACCGCAAGCTTCAAGGGCAGGTTGTTGTCACGAGCAACGGCCTGGGCCTCTCCGACGCGATTGAACTGAGCATCACCATCCCTGATATTCAAGAGGTACATCAAGTACAGCATTCGCTCACGCTTAAGCACCTTGGTCATCAAGTCCGAAGAGTTGTCAAGGGTCCCGACCGGGTGGAGCTTGAATGCTCCATCCTTCAGGGCCTGTTGAACCCACAGCAATCTGATCGTGTTTGAGCTTGGAGAGCCCTTGCTTGTTCACAACAGCACGAGCTGAGGAAGAGTCGCTGAAGGCATGGCTTTCGGGAGTGACTCCAACAATGAACCGCAGGGCCTCCTTCACATACATCAAGTCGACTGCAAAAGACACAAGGGCATTGAGCTCCGACTCGCAGCTTGACATAGCTACGACTCGTTGCGTGCGGCTCGCCGTATAAATCGCATTCCCATTCAAGTACAAGGCCCCAGCGCTCACGCTCCGGCGTGTGGTGTGATCTGAAGCCCAGTCGGAGTCTGTGTACAGCTCCAGCACGTCGGCGCCGGTATCACACTGGACTCTGGTGCCATGTCCTGCATGCGTGCGCTCCAGCCCAAGGCAAAACCCGCTGGTTGATTTAGCATATCGAACCAGGTGTTTGAGGGCCTTCATACAAGCCTCGGTTGGGCAGGCAAGGTGCTGGGAGAGCATGCGAATGGAATGTTGCATATCGGCAGTGTCCGCAGAGATGTACATCAGAATCCCGATGCACGACCTGTAAACCGACACCTGATCCTCTGGGAGAGGCTCTGACTTGGCCAAATCAAGTGTCTGCAATGGCAACGGAGTGGGCTTCGGGGAATGGCGCTCAAGCTGCAAAAGCTCAACAAGTTTCATGATGTGTTTGTCAGCTTTCTGAATGCAAAGCAGATCCTGGCGGGCCAAAGTGTGTTTGCGCTTCAAGAAGTGCAAGCTGTCGCCTTCGCGAACAAGCCACTCAAGAGTGCACTTGTACTTTGACTCTATGATCTGCGCAAGTCAAGTCTCTGCAGCTCAGCATGTTCGCCTGACCCCAACAAGTCGTCTACGTGAAGGAGTCCTTCGCCGGAGTGGTTGCGCATAGCAAACAGCGCCTCGCATCCGGGCCACAACGAAACTCCGCCCTCCGAAACCAGATTCTTGGTGAAGGTGGAAAACCAGACCGCTGAACCATCCCGCTGCCCCGGTAGCATAAATGCCAAACGGTACGTAGTGCCGTGGAGCGTCACCACGGTCGGGCACGGCTGCTCGCAAGTCAAGTAGGCGTCTGATATATCACAGGACAACAGGGCATACCCCTTGCGAGACATGTACAAGCCTGGCAGAAGCTTGAGCAGCACAGTTTGGGATGCAGGGCTGTATAAACCTTCCCTGAGGGGATCTCTGAACCTGAATTCCCGGGCCACTAGCCTAGATCTCCTGAGCCACACAGGGGCATCAGTGACCGGATGAGTTTTCGGTCGCCAGCTGCGAACGAACTTCACCGTCAATGACTTGCAGTTCTCATTGCCTGACTCAGGCTGGTAGATCACACCCATTGCCTTGAGCCGAGCTATCTCGTGGTGGTCGCACAGTGCATCAAGATCAGCAAGCTCCTCGGGGCTCAGGGCAGGCTCATGTGGTGAGAAGGGCCGATAAAGCTCATCAGGAGGGGCAAGGCCTTGCTCACACTCCTCCTCTTCATCATCTGAACACAGGCCGTCAAGATCATTGATGCTTTCAATGTCCGCTAGGGAGAATGCAAGATCGGAATCCTCGTCGGCATGGTGGTACTCCACACCGCACACAGTTGCGGCTGCAATCCTTGCACGTTTGGGCTCAGGATGGGACGTTCCCTTGCAACTGAAGTGGCAGGGTCAACTGGCATAGGCTCAGCAGAACCGGCACTGCTTTGCACCAAAGGATCACCTGTAGCAACAGCCTGCGGTGCAACGGGGGCACCAGACTGCAACGGAAGCTCTGCGGCGTCAGTGCCGCCAGAAGCGGGAGCAGCAGCCTCACCGGAACGATGACCATCGGGGTCATCCTCACTCATCTGCGAAGAACTCTCAGGATCAGAAGCGGCTTCCTGAGAAGGGCTGTAATCGCGCGCATCCTCAGGGATCTCTCCAGGACCTTCAGGCAAGGGCGCGAGCTCACCTAGCAAGTCGGAAACCCCACCAAGCTGATCCTCAACTACCAACCTTGCGTCACCGCCAGCCGGAAGGACCTTCGGCTTGCGTTGGGCTCGGGACCTACCTAAGGAACCCGCTACAAACCCGGGGTGGCGCCAAGGAGGATCACGGACACAGTCGTGCAAGGCTGGAGTGAAGCCAGTGGCAAGCCGGCGCACGGTGCGGGCCAACATGAGCTTGCCGGCTCCAGAACACAAGATGAACTCATCATTCGGAGTGCACTTTCCGATCATGATGGCCTGGATGAACCGCGGTTTGCCCTTGGGCCCGGGAGAAACCAATCCCATCACAGTTTCGCCAAACGGTAGCACTTTCCCTTTGTAAGGACGGCCATGTATGATCTCGAAAGGAGTAAGCCCTCCGGGTCGCAGCACAAATCTGTTCAGGATCCAAGAAGAATGCCGGAGGCACCATGAATGGAGAGCGTGGGCCGTTGCGACCTTAAGCTTGGTCTCTGCTTCGTACATCGAGAGCAGAGTGTTGCACTGCTGCCGCAGCGTTTGCACGGCAACCTCGGCACCTCCATTGGATTGGTGGCTTTCCTCAGCTGACTGCTGCACATCAGTTTGCAAACCCAGCTGTAGCCGCATGCGCCTCACCTCATTGCGTAACTTCAAGCATGTGGGCTCGGGGTCGCATTGAAGCACAACTTTGGAGTAGCCTAGCATGCTAAGCAACCTGCAAATCTCAGCAGCAAGGTAGCTGGTGACATTGATCCCATCATGCACGCCTGCCTTGCCTGGCACCGGGATGGCCTCTCGCCAGCCACTCTCAGAATCGTGAAGACACAGAAAGGCAAGCTTGTTGTGAGGGCCATCCTCCTCCGATCGGCCAGTGAAGCCGTAGTCGAAGGATATCACAGGAAATTTGCGATCAGTATTGGCAGCTTTGTGCATGTCATCCCTTGCTTTAAAGGCCACGCAGTGCTGGCACCATGCTTCATATGGGGCGTGCACAGCCTCGTGGGCTCGTCGTTGCTCTGGTGTGGGCTCCTTCGGAGCTGCCGGCACATTGGGCACAGGTGCATTCGGAACCTCAGCGGCGCGACTAGCCTCAATCAGCTTAAGCCTGTCAAGCTGGTTGCACAGCCTACGGAACACCACGGCTTTCGAGCCTGATTTCCCGACACCAAGGCTCTGGCATGCACGGCGAAGCACTGACAGGGTGCTGTCAAGACTCAGTTCGACATCATCGACAACAATCTTGTCTGGTTGGGCTTCGCGTTCGTCAGCGAGTGCCCCTTGCATCACTGCGTTCAAAAGTACCAATCGCATTTTGCATTCCCCGAAACGAGCACACAATGAGCGAGCTCAAAAGCCTCACCAAACAAAAATGCTTTATATGCCAACAACAGGTCACTCAGCACATATCGCATGAGAATATATAAGAAATGTTCGAATCCAGTCGCTCAGCTCCTAACTCAGTCACTTGGAAACCCTATGTTTTCGGCAGTGGTGGTTGACCGCAGCATCCGAAGGCTAAGTCATAGCAACAAGGATCGCAGGTCATATAAGAGCCCCGCGTCCTTGAACGAGAAACAGAAAACTGAAAGCTTGCATAACTATGCAAAACCGGCAGGAGCCAACACGACTTATAGACGAAAGGCTCGCACGACCGGCTACGCCTGAAAGCCGTTCACAAGAAGGCATCCGCTAGCAACCGGATATTCCGCCTCAAAGTTCAATGCACCGCAGATGAAGCAGCACTTCACAACAAGCTGCCAACTCCCAAGAGCGACAATGTAGTGAGACCGTCTTCCTTGAAGGAATGCGACGAAATGAAGCAGGCATGAGCGGCTCTTGCCAAACAAATAAAGGGAGAGGAGGGTGGGAGCAAAACCAGAGACTCAACGCACTGAGCCGCTCGGCTGCTCGGGCATCACTCAATAAATATGTCCCGCATGCTCAATGGGAAAGGGGAATGCAAAAATACCGATCAGAAAACCAGCATGCAAAATGGATTAGTCTTTCAAACAGGATCGAGTAAACACGATAACAGTTCAAAAGTACCAATCGCATTTTGCATTCCCCGAAACGAGCACACAATGAGCGAGCTCAAAAGCCTCACCAAACAAAAATGCTTTATATGCCAACAACAGGTCACTCAGCACATATCGCATGAGAATATATAAGAAATGTTCGAATCCAGTCGCTCAGCTCCTAACTCAGTCACTCGGAAACCCTATGTTTTCGGCAGTGGTGGTTGACCGCAGCATCCGAAGGCTAAGTCATAGCAACAAGGATCGCAGGTCATATAAGAGCCCCATAAGAAGCTACCACAGCCGAAAACATAGGTGGACGTATCGCCAATATACGCCCCACACCGAAGTGAGACGGACATCTATGTTTGAAAACGTGTTCTCGCCCTCAACTCGCTTGCAGAGTCCACTAGAGAAAAATGGATCAAGGTCCGCCCGACACCGAGGCGACTTCCCAAACAGCTTCGCGTCTGAGATCAGCCTGGCGCTGCTCGGAAAACTCGACCACCGAAAAGCGGCACCGAAAAGCAGCATGGTTGCTGCTTTCCAAACGAAGTTTTGCCTGGCCCCATCGCATGCGTAGGTAATCCCTCGCGAAATGTGATGCGTTGCGCGTCCAGGCTCGCTCCAACAGTAGAGCTTCTCATGGAAACGAGCTGAGCGCTTGATGCGAAGAACCGATCCATCTCCGAGGATTGCTTGCAAAGGCAAGATCAACAGCTTGGATGTGATGCCCATCTCACCGCGCATGCTGTACGTCACTGTTTACGCATCGAAGTAGGCACTGCCCCAGTTGGCCAACAATCCACTCCCGGGATTGCAGCAAATGCAGCGCCAAAAGCTTGGATCTGCTGCACAGCACGTAGCTGATCTTGTAAAGCACTGCTTTCGCCATCAATTTCGGCCTGTAAAGTCGGCACTGCCCCAAATGATCACAGATGCAGCATACCAGATTGCAGCCACGCGCCACCCAAGAAGGTTGGATCTGCTGCGCCCCGTGCAGCTAATCCAACACGGTACAGCACTGCTGACGTGTGTGACCCAGACCCGTCACCGAGGCATCAGTGTAGCCAACGCAACAAAGCTGGGTTCGCCCCATCACTCAACTGACGCAGCACGCACTGCTGTTTGCCCAAGCTGTCTGCACAAAGGCAGCACTACACTCAAGGATCCAAACATGGATTGCTTCGAATGCCCAACAATAAGCTTGGACCTGAAGCCTGAGTTGCACCTGATCTATTCCACTGAGCAGACCCCCAAATGACCGCCGATCCAGCACCCAGGATTGCAGCACATGCGCTTCACGCAGCTATGATCTGTTGCACCGCGGACCACTGATGCTGTGCGTCAGTTTTTGCGCCATCAAAGGCGGCACTACCCCCAGAGATCCCACAACTGCACTCCGGATGCCGGCAAACGCAACATCATAACTTTGGATCTGCTGCAAATCTCGAACTGGTTGGTCAAGCCACCGGGCCAATAATTCATGAACCAGAATTGCACAAGAAAAGGCTGATCAGAAATACCTCACGGGAAAAGGCCTGTACCACAATGCTGTCGCCACCAAAGTCGGCAGAGCCACGCGACCACAGATCCATCAACCAGGATTGCCGAAATTGCCGTCGCAACCACAGGTGGCACTTCCCCACGTGACCGCAGATCCATCACAACACAATTGCAGCAAAAGCGCTTCCAGAGCGCAGATCTGATGCACAGCTATCTATGGCACTGCCGATGCCACCACAAAGAGCATCCCTGAGGCGACTAAAAATCCAGCACCCAGCAACGCATCAAAATGTGCCATCTGTAACCCGTAGCTTGGCAGCATTGAGCACTCGTCAACTGCTCCAAAACTGCACATCTGTTGCAACAATAGTCAGCATCACTTCCAGGGCCCCAAGTGGCCAATTAACCATCGCCCAGGATCGCCACACGCATGCGCTACAGCTGGCCTGGAGCTGTTGCAGAAGCAGCAACTGCGATTGTACGGAAAAGCTTTCACCCTCAGCTTGTCAAGCATGAACCCCGGCGACCAAGGAGCCCTCGCCCAAGATATGCGCAACAGCAGATGCACCAACATGCACCATATAAACTGGTAATTGCTGCACCCACGCAATTGAGCCCAGACCGCACTGCCTTCGCCACAACAGCCGGCATCGTCCCGTATGACCACTGACGCATCGTGCACATCAAGCGGAATGGCAGCAAAGCCTGAGCATCGCACAGCTGATGCCGCACGCCACTGCTGCCGTCACGAAGTCGCCACCGTACCAAGTGACCATACAACAATCAAACCAGGTTGCAGCAAATGCGCCCTACACCAGAAGATTGGATCTGCTGCACATCTCGCCGCTGATACAGGACTGCACTGCTGTCGGCACCACACAGCGACACATCTCAAGGCTGATGCTGCACAAGACTGTGCCGTCGCCTCCATGTCGGCACGGAACCATCAGACTGTCTCAGACAGGATTGCACAAAAAGGCCATCCGAAGCAATAAATGATCTGCTGCATCTCTCGCCGCTGATCCTGTAAAATGCTGCTGTCGCATCCCTCAGTGAGACCACTAGACCAGAAGGACGCTTGCTGCAAATACACAACCAAAAGCTTGGATCTGATGCACAGCTCGCCGTGGATGATGAACGTTACTGCTCTCGCCACCAGTCGGCAATGCCCCAAGTGATCACAAGTCTACACACCAGATATCAGCAGAAGAGCAGCAGAAGTTTGCACCTGCTGCACATCCCCAAACCTGATCCAGTACAACCCTGCCACGGAGTCAGCATCATGCCATGTGACCGCTGATCCATCAAACCGGATTGCAGCAAAAGTCTGATCAACAGCTTGGACTTGGATCTGTTGAACCTCACCCTGAACACGGCACCATGCCAGGTGAACGTGCAGCTTGCAACCAGGATTGCATCATGTAAGCGTTGTCGGCTTTGCGACAAGCGGCCACACATTTGCATACAGGAGTTCAGAGCATGCTCCACACAAGAAGATTGCACCTGATGCACAGCTCGCGCCTGATCCTGTAAAGAACCTTGCCGTCGCTATTGATACCGGAGTCTGCATCATGCCGTATGACCACGGATCTATCACCTGGATTGCAGCAAGAGTCTGATCGAAAGCTTGGATAGTTGTGCCTCACCCTAGAAGCGGCACCACGCCACGTGATCGCAAAGCTTGCGACCGGGATTGCAGCATGTAAGTGGCGTCGGCTACGCCACAAGCGGCCACACATCTGCGTACAGGATTTCAGAAAATGCCATCCACGAGGAGATTGGATCTGTTGCGCATCTCGCCGCTGATACTGGACTGCGCTGCTGTCGCCACCGCAGTCGAGCGCACCGCATGCTACAACTGACGCGTCAACGAGGCTTATAGCTAATGCAAAATCAGAAGATGCATCCGCTGCACATCTCAAGGCCGCTGATGCTGCACAAGACTGTGCCGTCGGCGTCATGGCGGCACAGAACCATTAGACGCAGGATTGCACAAAATGACCATCAGAAGCAATGATCTGCTGCATCTCTCGCCGCTGGTCCTGTAAAGCACTGCTGTCGCATCCCTCCGTGCTACCACTAAACCACGAAGACGCTTGCTGCAAATACAAAACCAGTTGCAGACAGGATTTCCGCAAGGCCCCAAACAAGCAGATTGGATTTGCTGCGCATCTTGCCGCTGATCCAGGACTGCACTGCTGTCCGCGCCACCGAAGGAGGCGCTGCATGCCACCGGTCTCCACACAATTCGGCACGGCTCCCAGTGACCAATGATGCAAACTTGCAGCTGTCGAAACACACACAGCTCAGCACAGCTCATAGCCGTAAGTGACCACACATCTCCAGTGCCACACGAAGCTTAAGTTGCTGGCATCTCGCAGATGTAGAGGGGCATCACCGAATTCCGGACTGCCGCAAAGACATAACCAGCCAGGAATGCAACGAAAACACAGAACCATCGTCCACCGCAGCCCGGAAGAACCAAACCAAGCTCCAGCCTTTCGCGAACGCTTACCAGCCGTGACACTGGTGCCAGAGACCGGGAATTGGATCTGATGTAGCATCGCAGACGATGTTGCCACCCAAGACGGCACTGCCACTAGTGACCACACAGCTAGCAAAGGATCTTTGCAAATGCACCAGAAGCGTCAGTACCACCCTGCCGTCGCCACCAAAGGCGGCATCAGATCACGTGCCCACTGATCCAGCGAACGCCACACGCCTACAACTGTTGTACCTCACTGCAGTAGCCTGTGTATACCTGCCATGCTGTCGCCACCAGAGTCTGCATGAAGCCACCAAGATCCATCAGCCAGGATTGCAGCCAAAGCAGACCGCAATTGTCGTTGCCACTGAGCTCGGCACGGCCCCACATTACCACTGAGATCTATCACAAAAGATTACAGCGGGCTAGAAAAGGCTGCATTTGCTGCACCTCTGCAGCTGGTCCTACGCTTCACGGTTAGAGTGTGACCAATGACATAGCCACGAGGATGTGTCTAACGCAAAACTCAAGAGCTGGGATCTGCTGCCTGTAGCGCGGCTGCTGCGTACGACTGCTGTCGGCAGAAAAACCGGCCCAGATCCATCACACAGACGTGCCGAAAATGAGCCGCCAGAAGCAGGAAGCTGCTGCACACCTTGCCGCTGAGCCTGTACTGCGCTGCCGTCGCCACCGACTTCACTTTATGCGACGAGAGATACGACGGTCGACTAAGGCTTGCCCAAAGTCGGCCTCACTCCACGCCACCACAGATCCATCTGCAAGGATTGCAGCCACAGCAGCAAGAAGTTGCTGTCGCCCCCCATGTCGCGGCTGCCCCACGTGACCACAGACCCATCACAAACAAATTGCATCCACTTCGCTACCTGAGCCTGGATCTGCTGCAAATCTCGCCGCTGAACGCGATGCTGCACACGACAGCTGTCGATCATGACCGCGCCGGCAAGTGCCCCACCAGCAGCCGGGATCTGCTGCACCTCTCGCAGCTGAGCCTGTGAAAGCCCGACGCACTGCTGTCATCACTTGATGCGACAGCCGTTTCATCAAAGAAGCTTGCTGCCAGCTATTGCCCCCCAAAACTGGCATTGCCGCGAGTGAGCAAGAAGGTTTCTAAGCCCCTGTTGCAACATTATATGCCGAGCCAACAAGCCACAACGCCGGAACACTGAAAGCCTGAACCTCAGCGAGTTTACCTGCACTGTGACAAGACATCTGTCCTGAGAGGTCAGTAAGGATACGCAATGCATAGTGGCATAATGCGAGAATAAAACTTACGTGGTGCCCAAGCAAAGCCACAGCACTTGAGGGCAACGACGCCCGTAAACCTTAAGGGGACCAAGACAACGCGTGACGCATCACCCTTTGGCGGAGAAGAGGCTCCACCAATCTGAAAGACGACGAATGCATAAGACGAGGCTGGCTCTTAGCGCTGCTACAACTCCTGGATTCCTGGAATCTTAAACGCATGATCCGTCTTGATGCGCAGCAAGAGTTACGAATGGAGAGCCGCAGGCACATGTGAAGCACCTCGCTCTGCTCGTGCCATGCAACTGTGCCGCAATCTGCACGTTCACCCCGAGCAAATCGCAATGCTATAACGCCAAGACAGTCCCCCAGACAGAACACGTCTGAGATCGCAACAGAAGTCCGAGCCCACCGCGCAGCATCGGTCGCTGACCAAGCGACCTGGAAAGCCCCGAAACCTCGCACGAGGCCAAGCCGGCTCTCACCGCAGCTCTACCGCCTGGAGTCTCGAACGCATGACCGCATGATGTGGGGATGATGATCTGCGTGAAGCCAAGCCGGCTCAAAACGAGCATGGCAACAAGGGGTTCTATTTCACCCCGAACAAATCGCAATGCTATAGCGCTAAAACGGTCCCCCAGACAGAACACATCTGAGATCGCAAATGTCCGACCACACTGGTCATCGCAGCGGTCGCAGCTCCACTTCCTGGAGGATTCAACGCGAGCAAATCGCAACGCTATGATACGCTATGGCGCCAAAACGGTCGTCCCCCAGACAGAAAGCATCTGAGATCGCAGATGTCCGACCACACTGCTCATCGCAACAGACGCAACTCCACTGCCTGGAGGCTTCAACGCATGAGCAAATCGCAATGCTATAGCGCCGAAATGGTCCCCCAAACAGAACACCTCTGCTTCTGAGATCGCAAATATCCGACCACTCTGCTCATCGCATCGGACGCAGCTCCACCTCCTGGAGGCTTCAACGCATGAGGCGCGGATGATGTTCTACATGAAGCCAAACCGATCACTGCGCATATGCACTTACTGGAGGCTTCAACGAATGAGGTGGAGATGACGCTTGGCATGATGGCCTTCACCCAGGGTTGCAGCAAATGGGCAATCTGAAGCTTGGATCTGCCGCACGTCTTGCACGTGCTACGGCACACCACTATTGATATTGTCGCCGAGCACAGATCCAGCGAAAGTAACCACAGATTCACTACCCCGGATTAGTTGCAACAAGTGTGCCCTGATAGGCCTGGATCTGCTGCTCATCTCGCGCCTGATACTGAACGCCAGTGCTGCCGCTGCCGTCGCAAGCATGGCTCCAAGTGATAGCGAATCGTTCACCATAGTGACAGTAAACGAGCACAATTTCAGACACCTGGATCTGCTGCACAACTCGCAGCTAATGCTGCAATTAACTGCCGGCGCCACCGCGCTGCGGGCATGGCGCCAAGTGATCGCGAATCCTGCACCCAGGGTGGCAGCAAAAGTGCAAGCAGAAAGCTGGACCAGCTCCACATCTCGCTGCTAATGCCGCGACATTGGCACCACCACGAGCGTGGCCCCAAGTGGCCCAGGATCCATCGCCCAGGAACATGTAACAAATGTGCATTCAGAAGCTTGCATCTGCTGCACATTCCGTAGCTGGCCCTGCCGTTGACCCCATCATTGCCATCGCACAAGATTGCGACATGGTGAGAGTACCGCGCACTCCGAAACACATCTCGCAGCTGGTTCTGCGTGCCACTGCTGTCACCCGCCAGAGCCGGGCATGGCCCCAGCTGAACACAGATCCATCACACAGGTCGGCAGAGAGGCAAAACAACGTATCATGATGACCCTGTTACTGTAGCTCGTGATGCTCCTCGACAGACCTTTGCGAGGCGGCACGGGGAACCTGAGCTGAGCAGCAGAAGTGTTGTTCCGCACAGCACCTGAAGAGGCAGCTGCAGCACGAGGTTGGGTGCTCAACGCTGTCGCTACACGAATCGGAACACAGTCACGTGATCGCAGATCCATCAGCCAGGATTGCAGCCGAAGCATCGCGCAATTGCTGTCGCCATCCAAGTCGGAACTGCCTCACGTGACCACAGAGTCATCACAAAAGGTTGCGGCAAACGCGCTGCAGTAACGAAAAGAACAGGAATTTGCAGCGCATCTCGTAGCTGAGCCTACCTTGCGCGGTTGCCACGTGACCACTGAACCATCAACATGGATGTAGCCACTGCAAAGCCACAAGCCGTTTATCTGCTGCCCCTGACGCGGCTGATCCTGCACACAACTGCTATCGCCACCAAGGCAGCACAGATCCATCAGACAAGAGTGCGGCAAATGCACCCCCAGAAGCACGAAATTGCTGCACACTTGACACAAAAAATGCCCTTCACTACAGATGCTGTACGTCGCTGCTTTCACCCCCCGAGGTCGGCACTGCCACAAGTGACTGCACATCTGCACACGCGCCACAAGAAGCTAGGAGCTACTGGACTGCACTGCGGTCGCCCTCGGAGTTGGCATCAGCTCATGCGACCACTGATCTGATCCTGTACCGCTGCTGATACACGGAAGTCGGCAGCAATGCGGCATCAAGGATTGCGGCAAGAGAGGCTGATCAGAAGCCTGGATCTCTTGCACCGGAATGAACTGGGCCAGTACTGCAATGCTGTCGACACCTGGTAAAGCATCACGCCACGTGAGCGCAGATCCATCAGCCAGGATGGCCGCAAAAGGGGCGCAAGCAACAACAAGGGTTGCATCAACTGCATCCCCCCAGAAGCTTGGATCTGCTGCACTGCTGCACAAATCGCACTGACCCTGCACCGCCCTGCGGTCGCCACCAAAATCTGCGTCGGTGGGTGACAACCCATCCATCAAGTTCTACGTCTCGCAGCTGATCCTACCGCACTCCTGCCACACAACAGCCATCATCAATGCATGCAACCACATATGAACCAGAATTGCAGCAAAGGCTGGGCAAAATTCTGCATCTGTGGCATCTCACGGACGTAGGCCTGTACCACAGCGCTTTCATTACTGGCTTGCCAAGTGACTAGATCCGTTTTAGCTAAGCATTGCTCCAAGGGATAGCGGATAGCGAGCCGTCACCCAGGGCAACAAGAAATGCAAACTCAGAAGCTTGGATGCATTGCACATCTCGCAGCTGATGCTGCACGCCACTGCTTGCGCCGCTACTGTGAACATTGCCGCCAATGAGCATGAATCTCGCACCCAGGATTGCAGCAAACGCGTGCAATCGGAAGGTTGCATATATATCACTGCTGCTGCAAATGCTGTGTGCCACTATGTTGTAACCACTAAGAGCATGGGCCCAAGTGGGCTCGGCTTCATCACTCAGGATTACGTACACACCATGTGCGCGCGCAGAAGCTTGGATCTGCTGCACATCTCGTAGATGATACTGAGGTGGTCCCCAAGTGGGACCGGTTCCGACACCCAGGGTTGCGACAAATGTGCCTGCAGAAGCTTGCACCTCCTGCACATCTCGCAGCTGTTGCTGCACGCTGCTGTCGCGCGACAGAGGCAGAATAACGTCACACGATGAACATCGCAACCGCTAACGATGCTCCGCGTCGGAGTTTCGTGAGCCAGCACGGGGTCACGACAAACCTGAACTGGGCACAGCCGTGTTGAAGTGTTGCACTGCACAGCGCAAGCCTGGCTGAGAGCGCAATGCTATATCGCCACCCAAAATTTGGACCCAAAAGTTGCATAGAGCCCCGTATTCACAGATCCATCAGCCAGGATTGCAGCCGAAGCCGCGCATAATTGTGCCACCATCCAAGTCGTAACTGCAGCTAATGCACTACAAGAAGCTGGGTCTGCTGTTTTCTCGCAGCTGATCCTGTACCTCACTGCTGCCGCCACAGTATCGGCATCACTCCACGCGACCACAGCAAAGCCAAGCAGAAGCTTGGAGCTGCAGCCCACTCGCAGCCAAAGCAGGCTCAAACCTGCTACGCAGGAACTGCAAGACATGCACATCTTGGAGCTTGTCGCTGTCGCGCATTTTCCAGGTGACCGCACGAACCAAGCTCAAGCCTGTTGCGTAGCTTTTCGTGTGCCACTGAAGATGACTCGACTAGGGTGGCATGACAAGGTGGCACATGCTTGGCTCCCATGGCCTGTGAAGCGCAATGTAGCACCCATGGCTCATCTGCTCCAAAGGCAGGATTGCAGTCTACGCGACCGCGCTTAACTTCTGCTGTGACAATGCCTGTATGATACTCACACGCAAAGCAAGAAGTAGCCAGCATGCCTGCAAACGAAGTAGCAAAACGAGAGACTCAACGCACTGAGCCGCTCGGCTGCTCGGGCATCACTCAATAAATATGTCCCGCATGCTCAATGGGAAAGGGGAATGCAAAAATACCGATCAGAAAACCAGCATGCAAAATGGATTAGTCTTTCAAACAGGATCGAGTAAACACGATAACAATCATCAAGGGCACCATCGCGTGCCTCGCCCCCGCCGGCTGCTTCAGCTGCAGCCCCGCCGGCTGACTCAACTTCAGCCCCGCCGCCTAACTCAACATCGGCCTCCTGCACTGCCTCACCGAAGAAATCCTCAAACACGGGATCTGCTGAAGACTCTGGAGGTGCAGGTGCCGGCGCATCAAGAATTGGCACATCAGTTGCGAAACCGAAGTCGCTGGGTGCCAGCGGCTCCCGATGACCGAACACGATCATCTCTACCTCCTGATCGGCAACCTGAGTGGTCAAGTCTTCGCCAAGGTCGGCGATTGAAGATGAAAGCTCGGAAAGAACCCAATCCCCATCTATCTTGATCAAGGTGGTGCGGTAGGCGAGACCCTCGTAAGGCAGATACAAGCTCAAATCGACAAGGTGCTTCGAAGTGAGGCTCGTGGCATGTACACCTGGGGCAATCTCCTGAAAGAAGTCTGTGCTGCGGATAAGGCGGTCAAGCAAGCCAGTCAAGCGCACCTTAATAACCCGAACTGCAGAGGGCTGAGGCTCCTGGATAGAGCGTATGACGCCCTTGCACACAAGAGTGTTGTTGCTGAAACCCACAGGGATCCGCGCTCCATGACACGGGCTGGTCAGGCACATTCCAAGATCATCAAAGTCAAGAAACCTCCAGCCCTGCTTGAGCAATTTGCCCGTGGCCAGAATCGGCTGAGAAACTGGCGACACAACCCAGCGCTCCTTCAGCTCGACTCCAGAAGCTTCCAAAGTGGCCAATCGGCTGCCCTTGGTGTGAATCGTGTTGCCCTGGCAGTCAACAAGCGGTGGCTCACCTGACGCATGAGACCCAACACACACGAAGTCAAGAGGCAGACATGACTCATCGGCGGCTGTGTCGACACAGATCTCCAACTGTTGCTCATAGCTGTGACGGCTGACTGCAGCTACACGCATGGGTGACGAAACAGGGCTGAGATCCCAATCGCCATCATGGTCACTGCTAGCTATGTCAAACTCTGCAGGACAGCCACTGGGCACACATCGGACCAAAGTGGACTCAACGCGGCCTATGGACAGATCTGACTGGCACGGCTCATCCGAAACTGCACAAGGATCTGACTGGCACGGCTCATCCGAAACTGCAAACGGATCTGACTGGCACGGCTCATGCGAATCTGCACAACGAATCGCTCTAACACTTGAGGAGGAAGCGGGATCACCAGGCATAGCACGAACGTCAAACATGATGCGCTTCACAGCTGCTTTGGCGGCTGCCTTGGGCGACGGTGATCCTTGATCTCCACCAGCAGCAGCATCATCCTCAGTGATGGCACGCACCTTGCCCGCAGCAAGGTCAGCTTTGTACTTTCTGCAATCTCTCTTGTAGTGTCCTTTCTTGTGGCAGTAGTGGCATTCGGCATCGGGGGAGGCCTTAGGTTTGGCTTTCGGCTTACCCTTAGGGCTGGGGGCATCCTTAGATTTTCCCTTATCACCTTTGCCTTTCCCTTTTTCCTTCCCTTTCTTGCCTTTGCCCTTATCCTGACCCTTGATTTGGGCCACGGAACCTTCTTGGTCCACTTCCATGGAAGCACTGCCTTTGTTGGGACTGACAAGACCAAGCTCCTGCTGCACTCGCGCGGCACTCCAATTAGTAGTACTTACTTCATACGACAGCACAAGGTTCTTTACGTCCTCATAAGTCGTAGAAGCGTCCATTCTCAAGTGCACGTGGGATTGCAGGGCTTTGGGGATGGCTCTAAGTACAACTGACAGCTTGACATCACCAGGAAGTGCATTGCCAGAGGCCTTCTCATACTCGGCGATCAGCCGCTCGAAGCTGCTGAGTTGCTCACGCAGCGTTCGGTCACGCGTGAATGCTGGAAGCCCCATCACTGCACTCAGCAGCGCGAGCGACCTGGAGCGCGTCCTCGGGCTAAATTGGCAGGTTAACTGCCGCCAGCATTCAAACCCATTGCGATCTTCAATGCCGCGGTGTATTGCAAGAGGCCTCCCTTTCAAGACAGAGCCTAGAATCACATACAGCTTCCTAGCCCTTTCAAGACAAATGGGTGGCATATTGGCAATGTGAGGCACTTCAGTCAAGCGTTGCTCTACTTCTGCTAGATCGCTCTCATAAGCAGGCTCTGCAAAGGTAACCCAGTTACGGAAACTGGTGGACCAGGCTAGCCAGCCCAGCGCATCCTGATCGGCATTCTCAGTGCCAAACGGCTCGGGATACTTGAGAACCTTGTTGGCTAAAGTAAAACCCCCACTATTGTCAAGAGGTGGCTTGTTGGCCGCTGCACTCTGCTGAGACACCATCATCAGAGTCTGCTGCGCAGTCTGAGCAAGCGACATCACCATCGTCTGCATAGCCTGCATGTCAGCAAGCTGTGGCCCTGGAGCCTGTGGGAAGGGACCTGCAGGGAACCCCGGCACTTGCGACGACGAAGCAACCTGCGGCGGATCTCCAAGGTCGTCATCATCATCATCATCCAACGGCACATTCGGTGGCTGTGACACCGGACTTCCATGTGCAGACATTTCTGCAACAGTGTGGTATTGGGCTCGTAAACAAAAATCAAGATAGGATCACAAAGGCTGATCAATCAAGGTCAATGCAATGCGTAGCTCTCCTAAGCCGGTGCTTGAAGACGTTCCTACCTACAACAAACCCAAGGGCAAAGGTCCTCCCTGCTGCCCAGTTGTTGAAGCGGATGCACTGCTGATCACTCAACACACGATTAGCCAATCTGGTGACCTGAGACAAGGAAGTCGCGGCCTCAGCAGTTGCTTTGTGCCTTGCAAGATAAGCTGCTTGCCTCTTGCGGAAAGAGAAGACGCTCAGACTCGGAGTTCGTACTAAGCAGATGCAAAGCAGATGCAAGAAGCGGGCTTTCGCCTGACTGAGCAAAGGGTCCTTGTCCCACGCGAGCACAAGGGGAGCGGCCGTGGCTGCTACGAGCTACCCAGCTACACTTCGCCGAAGAAAAGAAAACACCAAAGTCAAGGACAGGTTTCCGCACGCTGGCCCCCGAACAGAGAACCAACAAGAAACCCGACGTGAGAAGCACTGGTCGGCCAGTGCTCCGCTACCATGAATGTTTTCACCCTTGAAACAAAGCGCCTGCGACACGACATATACTCAGCACACATGCAATGGCGGCAAACTTGCATGACTGGAAAATCAAAAGAGAGAATAGGAAAAATGTTTCACAAAACCTACTCCTCAAAACTACAAACTCCTTCCTTCCTTCCTGGGTGCAGGTTACGTAAAACACAAGCAGCTTTGCTGGATAGTTTAAGGCTGCCAACTTCAAGAAGCTGTGCATTGCGAGGCAGCCAAGTACCTGCAGGGGTGCGAGTGAGTTTGGCGTTTTTGTCAAGGCTGTCCAAAAAACTACCCCACATGCCTGGCGAAATGCTGT